CACAGTGAAAGTAGTCTTACTAGGGTTGTCAATGAAGATCAGTTGTCTTGAGTGTCAGCGGCAGCGTTCCACTCTGTAAGCTTCTCAGTAGAGCAATCAGAAGAGAAGCTCACTGAAGTTATCAGCGTTGAAATGCTCGAGACCAGAGACAGTAGACGGCAAGCCACCGGCGATGCAAGGAGACAGGACGTTCGATTGAAATGGAGCATATGAGGAGAGGAGAGGAGAGGAGAGGAGAGGAGAGGAGAGGAGAGGAGAGGAGAGGAGAGGAGAGGAGAGGAGAGGCGAGGCGAGGAGAGGAGAGGAGAGGAGAGTAGATTGGATGAGGAGGATTGGTGGTAGATTCATGGACGAGGGCTTCAAGCAAAGCAAGGGCAAGAGAGCTGTCTCACGTTTCACGCCAGCCACTTAAAGATCGTATTATCATCATCACTGGAGCCAGCAGCGGGATCGGTTGGTCTCCACTTGAAATTTTGCTGGTGTCAAACCTTGACTAAGGTGAGGCGACGGCGCTGAAGCTCTCGAGCTTGGGAGCGAACGTGGCCGTTCTTGCTCGTCGGTCAGTCAGTTGGGATGTCCCCTAGGACGCCTCTGCAAGATGAGTGTGATGGGAGCAGGAAAGAGAAGCTGGAAGATCTCGCGAGCCGCATCGACAAGGCGGGAGTGAGTCTCCTCGCTTGCTGGCTGCCCCTCCTGATGTCGAGGGGTAGAGCGGGAAAGCTCTTGCTGTGTGTGCTGATGTCACAAGCGTCGAGTCCATGCGCATGGCGGTCGCTCAAGCTTGTGAGTATTTCAAAGGCTCAGTATGGGGGCTGGTAAATTGTGCGGGTGAGTTAAAGGAGGGGAAGAGGACGAGGAGAGCTGAGAAACGAGATCAGGCGTGATGCACTACCAGAAGGTGTCTGACCTCGACGTCGAGTCCTGGAACCAGCAGCTTGACACCAACTGCCGGGGTGTCTTGAACTCAACGGTAACACATTGATCAAGGCAGCGATGCGCGTGTGAGACCTGCTCAGGCGGCGGTGCTGCCATCCATGAAGGAGGCGGGAAAGCAAGGTTGCTAGGGTTCCAAGCTTAGGAGCCTCGAGTGATGGCTCATGACAGGACACATCGTGAACATCTCCTCTGATGCTGGGAGGAAGCCGTTCCCAGGCGAGCTCTGAAAGCTTCTCCTGGTCCCGCTGAAGCTCCTCAAGGGCTGTGCGTTTACTCGGCTACCAAGCATTTCGTGGAGGCGTGGGCTCAAGTAGGTAGTTGTGCGTACCCCTCCGCTCACTTGCCTCGAGGTGCTCAGACAGGAGCTCGTCGCCTTCGGCATCAAGGTCTCTTCCTCCCCTGCTGCTGCTCGCTCACGCATCGCTCAGGTTACCAACGTGCAACCTGGAGACGTGAAGACGGAGCTGCTGATGCACACGAGGGATCCTTCAGTGAGTCTGATCGCCTCCTGCCCTCTCCTCACCCCCCCTGCAGGCCCTCGCTGAGTTCGGAGGAGATTCGAATCGTCAGATGCTCGAGGTTCCCACACCTTTCCCCTCGAGTCGTCCCCACCTCCTCTTCCCTGTCCTGCCTCCTCCCTCCCTGCCTTCTCACTTGCAAATCTGCGCAGAGTGGTGACGTGGCGGAGATGATCGCTTTCGCCATGACGCAGAAGGTGAGGGGGCGGTATGAGGGGTCGACTGCTCGCCTCATGCACCTGGCAGACTCACTGCGCCGTCAACGAGATCCTGGTGGAGCCAACCGAAGCTCCTCTGTGAGGGGAGGGCGAGAGGAAGAGAGGAGGGAGAGAGGATGGAAGAGGTAGAGCTCCAAAGTTCGTGTATGTCAAGCCTAGAATACATGAAGCGCCTGTCGCGCTGCGAGGGATCAGAAGATGTAAGTGGACTTGGCCCATGTCGCGCTATCCCACTGCTTCTTGTCATTGATCTTAGTCGATGAGTGCACCACCACCTGCCTCTCTTGTCATCCGCAACCTCCTCCACTCCTCTCCTCTCCTCTCCTCTCCTCCCACTCCTCTCCTCCCTCACCTTGGGCGCTGGGTTTGTTCCGCCTCCAACCATGTCGCGCAGCTGCTTCTGAGTCTGGTCTTGGGCCATGCTCTTTTCTCGCTCGGATAGCGACACTATCTTCTTGGGGTCCTTCATGTACCCCAGCTGCTTCAGGATTCTCTTGCCTTCGTCTGATGCTGGCCATTAGGATGCGCAAGCAAAGCAAAAGAGGAGGAGAAGGATAAGGAGGGGGAGGAGAGAGGGAGAGAGGAGGAGCGGGGGGGGAGAGGTAGAGGGAGGAGGAGGGGAGAGTGAGAAGGGAGGTTGGGACATGAACTTGACTGGGGAAGAAGAGGGTTGGTCACCGGTCTTCTTGAGTTCGTTGATTCGCTTCTGCTCCTCCCTCTTGGCTACGTCGCTCTGCATCCTCGAAACGAATCCCGAAGTTTCAAGAGCGGAAGAATCGTTCATCGAGTCGTAATGATAGGACATCTGCATATCAGTCAGACAGCATCCAGACCTGTCCTGCCCGCTTCACTACAATGCTACCAACCTCTCCAGTGAGCTTCTTGCTTGTAATCTCTCTTTTCTCTTCCCTCCCTCCTCTGTGATTCGCTTAGCCCTGCCCTGCCCTGCCCTGCCCTGCCTGCTCTCGTTCTCCCTGTCCCACCCTGCCTCACGTCCATCGACTTCCCCAATGTTGTACCCGTTTTTGATTCCTTCACTTCCCTTCTCTTCTTCCCCTTTCTATGCATCTTCTCTTCTCTTCTCTTCTCATCTCATCTCCCATCTCCTCTCCTCTCCTCTCCTCTCCTCTCCTCTCCTCTCCTCTCTTCTCTTGTCATCTCCTGTCCTGTCCTGTCCTGTCCTGTCCTGTCCTGTCCTGTCCTGTCCTGTCCTGTCCTGTCCTGTCCTCTCTTCTCTTCTTCTCCTCTCTTCTCTTTGTTCTTTTTTCCCTCCCCCCTTTTACTGCTCATTGAGGCATCTTTGAAAACCACCCACCCTCTCACAGGTATACCTACCCCCTTGTTATATCAATTCTATGCCTTATTTTGATGGTACTTCAGTACCCCCTACCCCCTTTTCTGTATTCATACGTTTTCGGTTGTGATCGACACCGGTACTTTCATTATGCTGATTCATAGGTAGGGGTCATAACCTCAGGGTGGGGGTACTTCAAGGGAGATAGAGGGGTACTGTATCCAGGGTAGCAGGATGAAGGGACCCAACTTCTCAACCCCACCCCCACCAATCAATACCCCTGTTTTTGATCTTAAAAGTAGGGGTAGTAAATGACTATCATGGATGATGTGAGGGACGTGACCTTGGGAATACGAAAATGCAGAGAGGGAGGGGGGGAGCGAGGAGAAGAGGACAGCAGGGCATGGCAGGATAGAGGGGAGGGGAGGGGAGGGGAGGGGAGGGGAGGATAGAAGGAGCAGAGAAAGTCAGATCAGAGAAGAGGGGAGCAGGCGCTGGAGTACACTTCGAAGACACTGGTTGGGTTGCTTCAAGATATAAAGCAAGGCCGAATGAAAGAGAGGAGGGCAAGAGGAGGGAGGGATTGCAAGGGGGTTGACTTTGAGCTTTCAGAGGAGGAGAGACTTGTTCTCGGAGTCGCGAGGGGGATGGCCCATACCATTCTCCTCCTCTTCTCGCAGCTATCTCTTGTTTCATCGGCTGTGAGATGGAGTGGCTCTCTTGGACCGACGTCAGTTCGCATCGCAGCTGAACCAGGTGAGCTGCTCCTACTACTACGCAGAGCTCTTCGAATGCGTATCCTCCCTCCTCCCTCCTCCCTCCTCCCTCCTCCCTCCTCCCTCCTCCCTCCTCCCTCCTCCCTCCTCGCTGTTCTGCCTCCTGCTCCCTTCCTTGTCTCCCGTCCTCCTCGTCTTCTACTGACTTCAACCCGCAGCCTCATCGACGGGTCTGCTTCTGGTCTCGCAGCATGCTTCTCTCTCTCCTCCTCTCGCGTCCTTTCAAGTCACCAGCGACAAGTTCGTGGTCGAGGTCAGCAACCTTACGAGCGACTCGCTCTACTTCTACGGCTTCGACGCCTCCGACGTGGCCTCGTTTCGCACCAGCAGCCTCGAGCACAAGCCCCTCCGCATCGCCTTTGCCTCCTGCGCGTGGACTGGGTCTCGAAGCAAGATCTTCTCTCGGATTGCGCAGCTTAACCCTCCTCCGCTTGTGTTCATCCAAGCGGGCGACCTGCACTACCAGAACATCGCAGAGGACTCGCTCGCTCGCTTCGAAGACGCCTACCACAAGGTTCACTCTTCTCCTACCCAGCGCGAGTTGTTCAGCAAGATGCCAAGTGAGCAAGAGAACATCTTCCCTCTTCCCTCCCCCTGCCCTGCCCTGCTCTCTTCTGCTCTCTTCGCCTTTCTTGTCCTCTTCTCCTTTCTCAGTCTTGGTTCTCATGTCTTCTCAGTCATCTACATCTGGGATGACCATGACTTCGGAGGGAACAACGCCATCGGTACCAGGTGTCATGCCCTGCCATCTCCTCTACCCCCTCGCCTCTCCCCGTCTCTCCTCTCTCCTTCCCTGCTCCCGCCCCCGCCTCTCTTCCTGTTCTATCTCCTCGCGTCCTCCTCTTTGCCTTCAGCATGACAAGAGCTGCAGCAAATCAAAACCAGCAGCGCTCGCGGCCTACCGCAAGTTCGTGCCGGCGAAGCTGGCGGAGGAGGCAGATGGAGGGGCAGCTGGGATATTCCAGGCGTACTCTCTCAACGGGGTGCGGGTGCTGGTGATGGACTTGAGGTCTCAGAGCACACCCGCTCACGGCTCCACCCTCGGCCTCCAGCAGCGCCAGTGGCTCCTCCAGCAGCTCGCCAGCTGGCGCGACTACCGCCTGCTGCTGCTGGTGAGCTCGAAGCCTTGGCTGGGGGTGCAGGGGCAGGACGACTGGAGTGGGTACGCGGAGGAGCGGCAGCTGATCTCCGACGCCATCGCGGAGTTGGGGGTGAGGAACCTGGTGATGGTGGCGGGGGACGCGCACATGCTTGCGGCGGACGACGGGAGCAACACGGACTTCTCGACGCTGTCGGGAGCAGCGCGAGGAAACGCCTCCTTGCGCGCAGGCTTTCCGATCTTCCAGGCGGCTCCTCTCTCGCAGTTGGGCTCGTCCAAGTCCGGCCCCTACTCGCACGGCTGCTTCGCCTACCGCTACTTCGTCAACCATCAGTTCGGCGTCATGGACGTGGACGGGGGCGACGCATCCTCGCTATGCGTGAGACTGCGAGGCTACCGAGACGACAAGGAGGCGGCAGAGATCGAGATGAAGGTGTGCGCAGACAGCGAGCACGGGCTGATGAAGAAGGGGACGAGAACTTCTCTCTCCGCCTCCCAGTGTTCCATCCCCTTGGCCCCGCCTGAGCTCGTGGGGACTCTGTTGGCTGGCATCATCCTAGAGGGCCTCCTCCTCCTCCTCCAGCTCTTCCTCTGCTTCACGGGCAGGATGAACTGCTGCTGGGAGTGCTTCGCTTCTTTGCAGAGTCTCCTCCTCCTCTTCCGCCGAGCCCCAACGTCTCACCCGGAAGTCAACTTCAACGAGCTCGAGGACGTGCAGGTAGAGGAGAAGGCGACGCAGAGGCGGCAGCAGGCGAAGGTGCGGCGGAGAGGAGAAGCTCGTTACCCTTCTGACCGGCAGCAGATGTGCGCGCTGGTGTTCCTCGTCCAGCTGGCCGCCGTCATCCTCATCGTCGTGCCCGTCATGTGAGGGAGGCGGAGGAGCTCGAGAGCTGCTGACGTCATCGCAGAATAATGGCCGCTCCTCACTTCTTCGAGGCGAAGCGGTACGCATGATCCGTCAAGGGCGGTCAAGAGGAAAGAGAGAGGGGAAGAGGGAGGAGCAGGAGCAGGAGCAGGAGGAGCAGGAGCAGGAGAGGGGGAAGGGAGGAGGGTGTGAGGGGGAGGTGTAGTCTAGTATAGAAGATTTTAACTTGCAGCCTTCACGGTTACGCTTAGGTTACACAGTAGAGCAACTAGCCGCTACTCGATGCCGTCAAGCTAGAGGAGGCGACTAGAAGAAGCAGCATCTCTCTCCCTCCCTCCCTCCCTCCCTGCGAGCCCCAACTCCTTCAGCCTCACTGCAGCGCTCCCTTCATAGCAGCGACATGCGCCTTGAAAGTCTCCGCAAGCATCCCGTCCTTGACAAGCTCGGCAACGAAGGCATCCACGTTGCTGCGGCATCCTTCAGCGAGGGTAGAGACGAGGACAAGAGAAGAGGAGGAAGATGGTTGGAAGAGAGTATGAGGACAGAGAAGAAATGAGGAGAAGCGGAAAGGGAGACGTAAGAGTAACCACAAAGGAAGGTGAGAGGAGGAGGAGGAGGAGGAAGGGGGAAAGGGGGGGGAAGGAGAAGGAGGAAGGGGGAAAGGAGGAGGAGGAAGGGGTGAAGGAGGAGGCACCTAGAGGCGTCAGGGACATCCAGGCTGAGATCCTTCAGTCCGACCACACTCCTCACCATCCCCTTGGCCAGCTGCGAGGAGCTGACGGCCCCGTCCCGAACCAGCGCCTGCCAGATCGTCAAAGGGAAGACTAGAAAACAAGCAGGAGGAGAGACGGAGAGCAGGCAGCAGCAGCAGAGAGCGAGAGGGGAGAGGGGGCAGGAGGAGGAGCGAACAACAGGAGGAGCAGCTGGGCAGGTCATGGACCTTGAGCAGGTCGATGGCTCGTGGCATCTTGGAAGAGCCTCCCTCCGCACCCTTATAGACGATCTTCTTGACGATCTCATGCCCGAAGTGAGGAGCGTCCAGCTCCTGCACGCACCGCACAGCCTCCTTCAGCTCCCCCTCTACGAAGTACTCCTCCACCAGCGCGTTCACGCTCTCCTTCAGCTCCTCCACCGAGTTCTTCGCCCCTGCTCCCCACACGTTCATTATCCTCGTGCTGCTGTGCTGCTCAAGCAGCGCCTTCACGCTCCCCGCTACTTCCTTCCCCCGCTCGCTCGCCACCAGCCTGTCTGGCACGAACGAGATGAAGTTGGGAGGAAGAACATCGTCCACGATCGCCCGCGCGATGAAGTTGGCGAGCAGCGCCGGGGCGTTGGGCGTGTCCAGCGACAGGTCGTCTAGACTCCTTAAGACAGCTATGAAACCCTCGAAGAACTGCTCACTTCCGTACACGCGCGTCATCGCGCTGAGAAGTACAGAAGCGCGCTCCCGCTCTCTGTTCTTCTTCTCCATCGCCAGCACGATCGTCCGCTTCACCGCCTCGTGCCCCGACCTCTTGGAGTTGAGCTCAGCCAGGGATCTCTCGGCCTCCACGAGATCTCCCGAGACGTAGAACTCTTCGATGATCTCCTTGACCTTGGACTTGATCTGAGTGACGGGGAGCGGCAGCGACAGCATCTCTCCCACTGCCTTTGACAGCTCAGGCCCCAACTTGGGGCCAGCGAGGTTGGGGATGGAGGCGAGCAGGGATTCGGGAATGGTTCTGTCTTCGAGGAAGTGAGCGATGAATCTTCCGACATACTCGACGATCTTGGGCACGTCGATGACCAAGTCGCTCATCTGCTTGATCAGTGACTCCAGCCCAGCTTCAACCTCGCTGGGCTCCATCGCACATCTCACACAAACGGATGAGATGAGGTCAGCGATCATTGTCCGCTCAGTCTCGCTCTTGTCCAGGGCAACGATAAGGATCCTCCGAACGAGCTCAGGATGCTTCGAAGCGTCCGCAAGATCTGTGACGGACTTGGCAGCGTCACGTCCACTTTGGCAGACGAGAAATTCCTCGACGATGAACTTGGCGTAAGTCTGGACCTTGTCGGTGCTTCCTTTCTTCCCGTCCTCCTGACGCTCCTGAGCCTTGAGGATCACGGCCTGCTCGAACGAGGGCGACACAAGGTTCTCAAACGCGAGCCAATCAGCCAGCGTCCTCAGTCTCTCGGGCGCATCCGGGACATCCAGGCAGAGGTCCGGCAGGCCCATCACTGAGCGCTGCATTCCGATGGTGAGCTGGTGATGATCGAAGGCGTCGCATGCCAGCAGCGCTTTCAAGAGAGTAAGAGCCTGCCTCAGCGCCTCCCCTCCCTTCTCTACCGCTCGATACACCAAACGCTTCACTACCTCATGCCCGAAGTGAGGAGCGTCCAGCTCCTGCACGCACCGCACAGCCTCCTTCAGCTCCCCCTCTACGAAGTACTCCTCCACCAGCGCGTTCACGCTCTCCTTCAGCTCCTCCACCGAGTTCTTCGCCCCTGCTCCCCACACGTTCATTATCCTCGTGCTGCTGTGCTGCTCAAGCAGCGCCTTCACGCTCCCCGCTACTTCCTTCCCCCGCTCGCTCGCCACCAGCCTGTCTGGCACGAACGAGATGAAGTTGGGAGGAAGAACATCGTCCACGATCGCCCGCGCGATGAAGTTGGCGAGCAGCGCCGGGGCGTTGGGCGTGTCCAGCGACAGGTCGTCTAGACTCCTCATCACCCTCGTGAAACCCTCGAAGAACTGCTCACTTCCGTACACGCGCGTCATCGCGCTGAGAAGTACAGAAGCGCGCTCCCGCTCTCTGTTCTTCTTCTCCATCGCCAGCACGATCGTCCGCTTCACCGCCTCGTGCCCCGACCTCTTGGAGTTGAGCTCAGCCAGGGATCTCTCGGCCTCCACGAGATCTCCCGCGACGTAGAACTCTTCGATGATCTCCTTGACCTTGGACTTGATCTGAGTGACGGGGAGCGGCAGCGACAGCATCTCTCCGATGGATTTGATCACTTCCGGTCCCACATCTGCCCCAGCAAGGTCCTTGACTGAGGCCAACATCGACTCCGGGAGAATCTTGTCTTCGAGGAAGTGAGCCATGAATCGTGCTGTGTACGTGGTCGCCTTGGGCACATCGATCACAAGATCTTTGAGGCTACTCAGAAGCAGTTCGACTCCAGCTTCAACGTCTTCAGGTTCGAGAGTTCCTCGTACGCAAAGGACCGAGATCAGGCCGGCGGCCATGTCTTGATCTTTCTCGCTCTTGTCCATGGCGACAGTGAGCATCTTCTTGATAAGATGAGGGTTCAGCCGAGGCGCCTTCAGCTCCTCGATGTACAGAGCCGAGTCGTGTCCACTCTCACAAGTGAGGTACTCATCCAAGATCATTGCTGCTGCTGCCTTCACCCTTGCAAGCAGCTTCTCATCGTCTGTCGCTGACATGGCTGGCACGGTTGAAGTCTTCAAGCGAAGGACGAGGCTATTGGCGCACGCTTATGTCGATGTGCTAAAGCCGCCTCCTTGAAGTTTCACGGGCAAAGTCGGCCCAATGAAGGAGGCGGCAAGAATGAAAGAGGAGGGCAATAGAACGCCAGATCAATCACTTGAGGGAGAGGGAAACGAGAAAATATAAGAAAGAAAATACAAGAAAGAAAGAGAACAAAGGAGAGAAGGAGAAACTGGAAGAGAGAAGGCTGCAAACGGAGCTCCTCTGCCTCTTATGTGAACGAATTGCCAGTCCAACCCTGCCCACAACAAACGTCAGCAAACCCACCGCATGCAGGGAAACGACACCCAGGTTTGCAGCATGAAGAAAGGTTATTCAATGGGAAGATGATGATAGATGAGGGAAGGGGACCATGCCTTTCGATACGTTCATAGACAGCTAGATGCAAAGATTATACCAGAGGATCTGCGAGCACAACATGCAGCGAAACGACAGCAATGTTCAGCAGGGAATGCAAAGAATGGAAACAAATGTAGTAGAGAAGGGAGCGGAAACCATCGCATTGGAGCGATGAGAAACAACAGAATCGTACAGGAAAAGAAGAGAAGCTGAGATCGAGGATGAATGTTGAAATCCAAAGGAAAAGAAGTACAGGGGCGGAACAGGAAACATTCCAAGGGTCAATGGCATCAAAACTATCAAGTCCTTAGGGGAATCAGGCTAAATTCACTAGACTCTTGAGATGTGATTGAGTAGAAGACAGAGTCTGTGAACAAAAATTTGATTCTGAAGGAAAAGGAGCGGATAGAGGAGGAGAGGAAATTAGAACCGGTCGGCCTATGTGGGCAAGGACCTGCAGCTAGCTACGAGGCATGAGGACAGGGCAGGAGCAGTCGGGAAGGAGATGTTGCGACGATGCTCGTTAGCAGGAGCAGGAGCAGGAGCAGCGGCGCGAGCGGCGGGAGGAGGGGAGGGGATGGACGGACGAGGGCAGCGGAGGGGGGGCGCATGCCGCTCTGGGGAAGTAAAATTGTTTTAATGATCTTATTGTACCGGTATCTATATTATTTTATTTAAAATACGTTTGCTCTGCTGCGAAATGTATTTAATGCTCTCAATTTTATACAATGGTATACACTACCAGGATAATTATTTTATCAAAGTTAAAAACTATTGTTATCCATTTGTCTCCAGAACCCAGCTTCTACGATACAAAAAGTGGTATCTGTGGGTGTATTTTTCTCTATTGTAAAACATAAAAGATATTTTATTTTGTACCAATGAACAATAGAGCTACTTCACTTTTATCTATCGGCCTCCGGAACTCCTCATCCCCGCTATGACATTTAACGTTACAAAGACGTTGGACGGTTGGCTCGTTACATTAATCGTTACAACACTGAGAAACCGTTGCAGCAAGAGGCGCTGGAAGCTGAAATTGAAAACTAGGGGTGGGGTCATAAATGAGATGGTGTGGAGGGTGTTTTTCCTATAGTTTTCATCTTTGATAAACAGGGTGGGTGGTATAAATCTCGGGTGGGAGCTCGGGGGGTCATCTGGTGGGATTCTGCGGGACGCAAGGCAGCAAGTCATCGGGAATGAGTTGATGTATGGGGGTAGGGGTGGTGTATCTGGGGGTGGGGGTATAAGATATACGGGTCATGGAAAGATCTATGAGAACAAATGGGACCTTTTTCAAGTAAAAAGTAGGGGTACTTAAAGGGTATTTGAGGGTATACATATTTTTGCGGGGGCGATGATCAAATCCTGGGGTGGGGTAAGACAAGTCAGGATTGCAAGGGGTGTTTGGCCAGATGGTGTGTTGGGGGTAGTGCTACAGGAGTATGCTGTAACAAAGGAGGGGTAGTGTTCAGTCTCGTTGGGAAATAAGAGACGCTGTGTACAAATGGGAGGGTGGGTACATGATTTGGCTGGGTGGAGGGGTCAATTTTCCCTATTGCTGTGATGTCTCAACATGGTGGGGTTATAGGGAATCTGGGGTGGTAAAAGATTGATATATAGTTGGATGGGTGGGGTGAAGGAAAACATTGGGGTAGGGTCCCATACCAGGGGTGATCACCATGACCCTAGGGTGGTCATGGGGGACATTGGCGGCGGAGCAGAGAATGGAAGGAGGGAGGGAATACTGGGAGGCGGTAAGGGTAGAGGCAAGGATGTGCAGAAAGATATCAGCGAGAACATGAATCAAGATAAGGAATCGACAGCAAGAAGATGCTAGATCGTGGACTTCTAAGGTTCCGATGATTACAAGATGCTAGAACAACGGGGAAGTCAAAAATGATGATGGAGATTGCGAAGTCTATAACCTGATCATGTTTGTATGATGGAAGATTCAGGCTAGCATACGTTTATAATGATTGCCATACGTATGCATGTTATTGTCGCCTCATCTTCACGTATTTTGCCCACTTCACTATCACCTCCCGTTGTTCCAAGTCAAGCTCCATTTGTTCATTGTAGCCCTCTGTAACAAATGAAACATGCCGGTGTGCTATGCAAAATCATCTTTACTAGTATACACGTAAAACATCTTTGATTGTGTTTTGTGACATCAAAAACGCATATCCCATCTGCATGAAGCTAGAATGCAGGGCAAACAAATCTCGTCGCTGGTGCAAGACTGATCGTGGTGCGATAGATGCTGGCTAATCGAGGTCTCGCCAGCGCGTTAAAGAAGAATCTTGTTGGATCAAAGAATGCGATCTCCTTGCAATTGGCAAGAAGCATGGCTGTCAAGGTGAATGGTGACAAGGGACAGGTAAGACCAATTACTTTCACATTTCCCTTCAGTATTTGGGGTTGACATGCATGCATGCTTGAAACTTGTTGTAGTTGTGTGCTTTCAAACAACTTTTTCGTTTGATCATGACATACTGTGAACTTCCTCAGGTCGAGATTTCTCCTGTTCAGTGCTACAAGACCGACGGGCCTTCACTGTGGGTCGACACAACCAAGGAGGAGGTGATGGATTCGCATGTAACATCTTCGGTCGATGAAACGTATTGCAGGCCGTGCAAGCCCTGCGGGACATCACGACGATGAGAAGGTGCCCCCTTCCGCCAGCAGCATCATGCGGCTCATGCGGCTCGCAGGCTCGAGATCTCTGCGGATCTTATGTACAAGTCTCAGATTATCAAGGGGTTCTGCCATCTTTACGACGGACAGGTTCGCTTGCTCTCCATGAGATGCCTGCTGACTTGCTCTGTGTAGGAGGCAGTAGCGCTCGGTATGAACTTGGGCTCAACGAAAGATGTACTCAACGTCTGGTTGAAAATCTTTCCTGCTCAAACCTCGCCTCAGGACCATATCGTCACTTCCTACCGTGATCACTGCTTCCAGTACATCCGTGGTGATTCTGTCAAGGTGCCACTGTGAGGCGCAATCGTGGAGTGACTGACATACCCATCAGCGCATCCTTGCTGAGCTCACGGGTAGATCTACTGGTTCAACCAAGGGAAAGGTAACTTGCTGAACCTGTGCTTTTAGCCGCATTGTGAGCTGACGCCTTGCTCGCTTCCAGGGCGGCTCCATGCACATGTACTACCCCAAGAACAACTTCTGGTAACCAGCAGAGTTGAGTATGTTCTCAGTTCTCAAAGTGATGTAGGGGAGGAAACGGCATTGTAGGAGCTCAAGTTCCACTCGGTACATGGATAATCCGGGGGTCGAGTTGGAGGCCTTGTTGTTGTTCTGTGCAGATGTCGATCAAGAGGGCCGTGTTTTGTTGTGTTGCTCTGTGCAAATGACAATCAAGGGGCCTGCGGTGTTGTTCATGCTGAGAAGGAGGAGGGATGAGGAGAAACCTGTCCTTGACGGTATTGGCGTTCCAGGGGCAGGCTTGGCACTTGCTGCCAAGTACCATGCCAACAAGGGCATGGCAAGGTAAGCCAAGGAAAGAAATAATTGGTAACGGTTGAAAGAGACGATCAGGGGTGAGGTTTCATCCAAGGCCGTCAGTTTCACGCTATATGGCGATGGTGCGGCCAATCAGGGTCAGGTAAAACTTGAACGCCACGGTTGCAGAGAAGATTGGTGACGTCATCGTTTCCAAGGTGTTTGAGGCGATGAACATGGCATACCTCTGGAAGGTATGAAGTTGAGGAATGCAGTGTGAAGATAAGTGATAGGGCTCGTCCCTCAGCTCCCTTGCATCTTCGTGATTGAAAACAACAAGTACGGAATGGGAACATCTACTTCCAAGGTACTGCTAAGGAGAAGGGATGTCGTTGAAGCTAACTGGTGATCAGGCTTCTTCGAACGAGGAGTTCTACAGGCGCTACGATCCTCTTCCAGGCATCAAGGTCCTTCTCCTCCCTCATCTCGCGCATCGCCGATTCTACCTCAACAGGTGGATGGTATGGATGTCTTCAGCGTCAAGCAGTGCTGCAAATTTGCCCGTGACTACTGCTTGTCGGGCAAAGGTGGTCCACAGCCGTGTGAGGTGAAGGCTGATGGCGTGACCCAGGTCCCTTCGTGCTGGAGATGAACACCTACCGCTACCACGGACACTCCATGTCTGACCCTGGCCTTACCTACCGATCTCGTGAGGAGGTCAGCGGCATCCGCAAGGAGAGAGATCCGATCGACAGGCTCAAGCGCATCGTCACCGAGCTCGGTTAGTCTCGGGCAGCCGGAGCTGGAATGTGCTCACTGACTTGTTCAGGCTTCATGACCGATGCTGAGATCAAGGACCTTGAGAAGAAGGTGGCCTGCCACCCCCTTTCCCTCCCGTCTCCTCATCTTTTGCAGGTTCGCGCTGAAGTGGATGAGGCCGTCGAGTTTGCAAAGGTATCTGAGGAGAGGAAGGAGGATGCAGAGGTGGTGCAAGTGACCGGCTTCGTTTCAGACTTCGCCTGAGCCCGAGCTCAAGGAGCTCTACACTGAGGTCTTCGCCAAGGAGCCGCTTCCCTACATCCGCGGAACTGGTGAGGTTCTAAGCTTGAAGGTCTTGAAGCTCACTGTAAGCAGACGGCATCTACGGGCATGGAGTGTGCGAGTGGGCGCGCAAGTAAGGGGAACAAGGAGGCAGATCAGTCTGAGTGCGGATGGAGAAACGAAGAGGAAAGCGATTGATCATGATTCAACCCTCACGCCATTCCTCTCCCCACTGTACACAGACGGTCGATGCCCTCTGACCTTGCTCCTCCTCGTCAGGTCGTCAGCTCCGATCGCCTCGCTGCCTGCAGTTCGCAAGTCACCGTAGGGACATTGAGAGGCGTTTCCTCTGCATCGCATGTAGCCCATCCCTAACTGCCAGCGCTCTCATGTTTTACAGCACCAGCGCGCTTTCAGGGCTTGTTCTTCCCGTCCCTCAAGGAGGCACGCGGAAAGAACAGGTGCTGTCGGGAGCGTAGCATCAGAGCGGGCAGGTCGTTCGTGTCCCGATCCTTCTTGCCTCCCTTGCATGCACAGGAAGAGGAGGAGGATGGTTGATACCTTGCCTACTGCCTTGGGGCTCCGAAGGCTTCAGGCATTCGCTCGACCGAGTACCTTCTTTGTGCGATGTACCTGGTGGAGAGTCAGAAGAAGGAAGAGGAGAGGGGGGGAGGTAAGGCAGAGGGCGGGACTGACATGATCGGAACTCCCGGGACCTTGCGGATCCTCCTCTTCAAGTCTCGATCGCACGTGGCTACTATATAGCATCGCGCCTGCTGGATCCTGCTCGACTTGTAAGAGCAAGTGACAACGCGACATGGCCGTACCGCTCCATGATACAGTCGTCCGCGTACGTTCCCTTGTGAGTGCAGGGCAACCGCTCAAATCGCGGATCCTGTGGGAGAATGAACATCACAACCTACCTGTCAAACTGCTTTTCCTCCCTTCTTCTTCTTCTTCTCCTCCTCCTCCTCCTCCTCCTCCTCCTCCTCATCATCATCATCATCATCATCTCACCTTGGCGATACGCAGAGCTACTCGGTACTTCTGCCCTAACTTCTCCAGCTCGGCGATGACGCAGTCAGTGATGTAGATGGTGCACTTGGCGTAGAGACAGTCCATGGAGGCCTTGATCGGGTCGAGCTTGTTCTGTATCGAGAAGTTGATGAAGTTGGTATCGAGGATAACGTGGTAGGGAGGGCCAAGCTGGCTGTTATAGGAGAAGAAGAGGGCAGAGGGAGCAACGGTCACTGTCTTAACTTCGGGCTCGTCAGGGTTAGCCTTCTTCTTCTTGTCAGCATCTCGCTTCTTGACGATCAGACGATCGTCCTTGGGGTTCAGCATCCTCTTGACCTCCGCAAACCTTCTCGTCTTCCTCGCCTTTCCCATCTTGCTTTCAAAACTCTCGGATGTTGGTGATGGGTGAGTTTAGTTCAAGAAGCCATCGTCACTTCAGTTTCGCGCGCAACCTGAGGCTTGATCATCAGCATCTTCATAGTTTCAACAGCACAGGAGAGGCAGCTCAGTACAGGCAACCAGCACACGCTCGTATCGCCCTACAATTGAAAAGTCCCTCTGATCTTTCCCTCAATCACGCTCCTGTACGTCTCCTCTCCCCCCCTCTCGTCTCGTGTCATCTCCCGCGTCTCCATCCGCTCCCTTCCTCCTCCCTCCCGCCTTGACGTTCCCCCCCTCCCCCCTCCCCTCCCTCTCATCCCCCCCTGCCATCCATTTACTCTGCCATTTCGCACGTGCGGCAGGTTTACTGAACTAACTAACCAAACTAAAAGGTTTGGATCAGTGTAGTTTAGAACTCCGTGTAGTTTAGAACTAATCCACTGCCCCATCGGAACAAAGAAAAATTTTAATGGAGGGAGGGAGAGAGGGAGGGAGGGAGGGAGGGAGGGAGAGGGGGAAGGAGCCAGCGAGGGAGCCAGCGAGCCAGGGAGGGAGGGAGCGAGGGAAGAGAGGGAGGGAGGGAGGAGAGAAAAGGAAGGATGTTGAGATGGGAGAGCGTAAGAGGGAAATGGGATGCAGGGGAGAGGAGGAGGGAGGGAGGGAATACCACAACGAAAGCACTCTTTCGTCTGACAATTGCTTCAGGATGACCGGAGAGGAGGGAGAGAAGGAGGGGGGGGAGGGTGAAAAGGAGGGGGAGGAGGATGAGCGAAACAATGCGCATCCTCACACACAACAGCATGAAGGCGAGGCGGCGGAGCATGAAGACTGGAAGGATCAGGTGGCGACGTCCATGTTGGATGTCACAGACCTCGGTAAACGGCTCTCCGCTCCCTCCCTCCCTCCCTCCCTCCTGATGGC